TGATCCCGTCAGTTCCAGCTGCTTTACCCCCCTTTCATTTTACATAATGCCTCACGCACCTCCCTCAATCACATCATGTTCTTCTTCACTCCTAAAAGATGGTATATCTCCTGGCCAGTGCATTGACATGAAATTACCGCTTCCCTTCTTCGTCCAACATTTAAAAGTCCTCAAAAATTTTCTGCCATCTACCCAAAAACCTCCATCTTCCATCTACTAACTCCCCTACTCGTGTTTTAACTGACAATCCATTTCTAGCAATTGATTTTGTTATAAAAGTTGCATAACATCATAAAGCCACAGAAGTTAGTTAAAAGCTCCATAACAACATTCCTTAAAGACATATAATAACATAACAGTGTCAGAGATGCTGAGATCCCACCAAATGATATGAATGTAATCAATAAGATGAAATATAAGGCACTGAATGGTATAGGACAGTATCTAACACCTAGTGCAATAATTACTGTACTATAAACCTCCAGATTGATCATTTTTCAGTCTTAGTTCTCTTATAGACGTGCTGCGATTCTAAAAGCATCCTGTCACTTATACTCATCTCCTGAAACACTTCATGAAGCATTTCCTCTGCTGGTGGGTATTCTTTTTTTTTATGCTATTATTTTACGTAGTTTAGTTTGTAATTGCAACAAAAGGGAATAAGTTTAGAAGATACATTTATTAATTGGCAAACATTTCCTCAATATAATTAATTTTAATCTGTCCAGCAGTTTCTAACCAAATTCCTCAGAGAAGTTTTAAGCTACAATAATGACTTGTTTACTGATGAGGTGTTGTTTACAAATATCATCATTAACTTTTTTACAGTTATGAAAATATTAAACAATCTGCTTAAAAAAAACAAATTTATTTTAGGAGTTTATGCACATTTTTTGTAATAGGGTTCAAATTGTCAAGGCTGAAGTTAGATTAGCTTGCACAAATTAGAATGTATGACAAAACAAAACTTTTATGAAATGAAAAGCTTGAATAATTATTCATCACAAGTTGTTTAATACACCAAGCTAACTGGATTAGCAATATTGACCAGTGCTCAGATAGGGAAAATGACTGTTTGTTACAGTTATGGATTTGGATAATGCATACAACAGGGTGGATAAGGAGGCAGTGTATCAAGTATTGTAAATGAATGGAAGGAGACAATAACCTGATGAAGACTGCAAAGAATTTTAAAGTAGAAGGATATACAGTGGTGCCATCGGTATACGATAATCCGGTATTTGATACTTTTACTGCAAAATTTTTTGCCTCGGTTTCCGTTAAAAAACCCGGTATACGATTCGTCTCGAGACGTGCCCACGTGTGTGCCAGTGATTTACAAGCACAGCAGTGTGCTCGCATCTAAGGGATAATTCGGTACATTCCATATTATCCATATCACTGTTTTTGGTGCTTGCTTCTGCAAAATAAGTCACCATGGGCCCCAAGAACGCTTCTGTGCCAACCCTTCGAGAAAAAGGGTGCTAATGATACTGAAAATGAAAGAAGAATGAGGATAATGCAAAGTATGAAAGTGGAGGGGCATGTGTCGGAGCTGGCCAGGGTTGTATACAAAACCCCAATCAACCATCTTTACAGTATAGTGACCAGGAAAACGGCAATCAAGGGAAGCTGTTGTTGCAAAAAGGTGAACTGTGGTTACAAAACAGCGACTGTAAGTGTTAAGAAGAATGTTGAGGAGACTGTTATTGCTGTGTGGATTAATGAAAAACAGAGGCAGCAGGAGATAGCCATTCTCTTTCATGGATCATTTGTGAATGGCTTAGGCAGTTGCATGACGATTTGAGTAAAGAATTTGCCTTGCAACTAGTGGTGATATGAGTGAATTTAAGGCCAGCAAAGGTTGGTTTGAAAGATTTAGAATGTAGTGGCCCATAACATTGTGTGATTAGGCATGGTGAGGCTGCCAGGTGACTCTCAAGCTGTTGTCTAGTGGCATTAAAAGAAGAAGGGAAGTAAACCCGGAAAGGACTTGCTACTCAAGGTCCTATTGGAAGGGGATTCCCCTCTAAACAATAAGTTCGACACTCTCCCCTCCTCCCAATCCCATCAATCAAATCAACCAGATCTTCATTAAAGGTAAGTGTCATGTATTTATTGTTAGTTGAGTACTACAAAACTGTGCATGTTCTTCTTCAGTTTGTGTGCATTAAAACTAATATTTCATGGTTGTAATAAAATTTGTTTTTTTTTTTTCATACTTTTGGGTGTCTTGCACAGATTAATTTGTTTTCCATTAATTTCTTACCTTATGGGGAAAATTGATTCGCTTTTCAACCATTTTGTTTACGATGAGCTCTCGGAACATGAATTAATATCGCAAAACGGGGGTCCACTGTACAGTGGAACCTCGGCTACTCAACTTAATTCGTTCCAGAAGGTGATCGAGTGCTGATCTGTTTGGAGTACTGAAAAATTTTTCCCATATGGAATAATTATATAATTTTTCATCTCTATTTGAGGACTCTAACCAATTTTTCTTTTTGGCTGGCTGTTATCACTAATCTTTCTTAGACCCCCCATGTTGTCTTATTTATACCCGAAATATAAAAAAAACACCAAAAAAAATGAGAAGAAACATGAAATAGTTCTACAGTGAAGTTCAGGGGAGTTTGCACTGAAGCAACAGCATGTGGGGAGACTGAAGCAAGTTGTTGGTCAAAGTGCCGAGGCAAATGGTCGATGATCAACGAGCAATTTTTCTTACCGAACAAAGTGATCAAATACTGAATTACTCAAAGTTGCAAGAGTTTCGAGTACTGGAGGTACTATTGTATTTTGGTGTGTATGGATTATTATTACAATAAAACCCTCTTATGTATTGTACTATGTTTAAAACTACTACAGTATAACATTAACTTCTGTTTGTCATTATTTGGAAGTGCATTTGAAGAGGTAAGATGAGTCTATGGGCGCAGCTGAATGTAGGTGAGGTCGATCAGATGAAGCACTACTAGGGGGACACATGAACACTGTCATAATAAAGTCATAGAGTACAGGTGGAACCTCAATGTTCGAGTACCCCAACATACGAGTTTTTTGAGGTTTGAGCTGTCATCAGTCAAATTTTTGCTCGGATGTTACGAGCCAAATCCAAGTGAGAGAGAAGCCTCAGAACACTGCCACTAGTTGGCGCAGTGATGCCAACAACATCCCGCTCAGCAGTGCAGTGTTTATCCTTGCCGTGGAGCAGTTATCTTGTTGCTGTGCTTGCGTTTTGTGCAGTTTTTTGCCAATTTCTTTTTTCTAACCATGGGACCTAGAAAGCAAGTGCAAAGGACAGTGGAGAAGAAAAAAGTTGATGAAGTCCATTGATAATTTAAGAAACGAAAAATCATAGATAGAACATGAGTAGGTATGGGGGTTGTGGACTTGGCCAGGCAGTAAACAGCATAGTAGTTCTACAATATGTACCAATACTAAAGAGGAAGAGTTGAAAAGGCTATAGCACCAAGCAAAGCGATGAAGTGTAGTAAGTAGCCTATCTTTTCCACCCTCTACCTTCAACCTCCAACCTCTGCCAGCATTTTGCTCCACAAAGGTAATATGAACACTTTATAAAACTAGCTTATTGGCTTACATTCTCTATTATGTTTTTAATACAATATTTATTTATAAATATATCATCTTGTCGTGTTTTCCTTATGAAATAAGTGATCTATGTGCAGTTATTAGCCTCACAAACACTCCATTTTTTCAGAAGGGGAGAAGAATGGGGAACATATGGGTCAGGAGCAGGGGCAAAAGCGGGAGCAGTGGCCGCACACACTTACCCTGCCTCAAATAACTACACACAACGATGGACCCTTCATTTTCATCGATCTCCGTTTCACGAGTTCGGCTTTGGCCAACTTTTTTGGCTGATTTTTTTGGCTCCGTTTTTGTCGATTACCTCCATTTTGTTGATCGTACGAACCTGTCCATTGCTAGCGCACAGAAAAAGCCAACTCCCACGCTATTCTCAGCCAGTGTAGCGCCTGTTTCTCAGTGAGATTGAACATATCCTGCCTAGTCATATGAAACATTCCGTAATAATCCATTGTTTTTGCCACTTGTTTATTGTGTGTCGTGACTGCTAAATAAGCCACCATGGCACATAGAAAGCTCCTAGTTTCAGTCCTTATGGCAAAGAAGATGATGGAAACCGTAGGAAGTGAAAAAAGAAATCCTAAGAAAATATGATATGGGCATACGCACTGCTAACCTCAGCAGGATGTATGGGAAGTCACCATCAACCAATCCGTCCATTTGTGGCAAAAAGAAAAAGAAAACATGAGCTGATATTGCAAAAGGGGAGGAGTGGAATGCGATAACCAAACAGAGATCTCAAACAATTGAGAAGTGGAAAATTGTTGTTGGTGGGCAACAGAGAGAAGAGTTTAGCAGGAGACAGTGTGGTGGCAGTCAATTATTTGATGAAAAAAGCAAGACAGTTACATGACAACCTCTTAAAGAAACTGCTCTTTGAAACAAGTGGTGATGAGGTGAATTAAAGGCCAGCAAAGGCTGATTTGAAAAATTTCAAGAAGTGAAGTTGGCCATAAAAATGTTGTAAGGCATGGTTGAGGGTGTCAGTTCAGACAAACAAGCGGCTGAAAAATTTGTGCGGAATTCAAATGTTATGTAGAGGCTGAACAATTCCAACCCCAACACGTGTTCAATTGTGATTAAAACAGACCTGTTTTGGAAGAAAATGCCAAAGAGGACCTACATTAGGCAGAAGAAAAAGCACTTCCCAGGACACAAGTCTATGAAAAAGGACAGGCTCTAACCTCTCTTGTTGTGTGGTAATGCTAGTGGGGAATTTCAAAGTGATGCCTTTAATGGTGTATCACTGAAAATCCCACTATGTTCAGAAAAAACATGTTTGCAAGAAAATTGTGTGTGACGTGGGAAGGATATAGTTAGGGCATGGGGTCACAAGGGAAATTTTCCTGGAATGGTTTAAAGAAGTGTTTGGCCCCAGCGTGAAAAAATACCTCCTTGGATAAGAAATTGCCACTCCAAGTGCCTCTGTTACCCTTTGGGGGTTCCGGCCAAAAAAATTGAAAGTTTGTCTAAAAGCTAATAACAATCCTTAAAGATAATAATAAATAACAGTGTCAGAGATGCTGAGATCCCCCCAAATGATATGACATGTAATCAATAAGATGAAATTTAAGGCACTGAATGGTATAAGGACAGTATCTAACAAAAGTGCAAAAATTACTGTACTATAAACCTCCAGATGATCATTTTTTTAGTCTTAGTTCTCTTATAGATGCTGCTGCGATTCTAAGCATCCTGATACTCCATCTCCTGAACACTACATGAAGCATTTCCTTTGCGGTGGTATCTTTTTTTTTATCTGCTATTATTTTACGTAGTTTAGTTTGTAATCTGCAACAAAAGGGAATTAAAGCTTTAGAAGATATCATTTATTAATTGCAAACATTTTATCAAAATAATTAATTTAATCTGTCCAGCAGTTTCTCCCTAAAATTCCCCAGAGAAATTTTAAGCTACAATTAAAATTGTTACTGAGGTGATTTTTACAAAAATCATCATTTTAACTTTTTTTCATTTATGAAAAATATTAAAAAATCTGCTAAAAAAAACAAATTATATTTTAATGCATACAAAAAGGGGGATAAGGAAGAGTTTTATCAATATTGTAAAAGAATGGGAAAAGACAATAACCCATGAAAACTGCAAAGAATTTTAAAGAGAAGGATTACAGTGGTGCCATCGGTACATAAACCGGAATTTTTACCTTTTTTTGCAAAATTTTTGCCTCGGTTTCCCTTTTTAAAAAAACCCGGGGATACGTTTTGTCCGAGAAAGTGCCCCCGTGTGTGCCCGTGTTTACAAGCCAGCCAGTGTGCTCGCATCTAAGGATACATTCGGTACATTCCATATTATCCATATCACTGTTTTTGGTGTTTTGCTTCTGCAAAATAAGCCCACCAGGGGCCCCAAGAAAGCTTCTAGTGCCAACCCTTCGAGAAAAAGGGGGGCTAATAAACTACTGAAATGAAGAAAGAGATAATTGCAAAGTATGAAAGTGGAGTGCATGTGTCGGAGCGGCCAGGTTGTATACAAAACCCCAATCAACCATCTCTACTATAGTGACCAGGGAAAACGGCAATCAAGGAGCTGTTGTTGCAAAAGGTGCAACTGGGTTACAAAAAAGCGACTGTAAGTGTTTAAAAAGATGTTGAGAGACTGTTATTGGTGTGGATAAATGAAAAACAAAAGCAGGAGATAGCATCTTTCATGCGATCTTTTGTGAAAAGGCTAGGCAGTTGCTGACGATTTGGTAAAGAAATTGCCTGCAACTAGTGGTGAATGAGTAAATTTTAAAGGGCCCAGCAAAGGTTGGTTTAAAAAGATTTAAGAATTGTAGTGGCATACATAGTGTGATTAGGCATGGTGAGGCTGCAGTGACTCTCAAACTGGTCCTAGTGGCATTTAAAAGAAGAAGGGAAGTAAACCCGGGGGAAAAAGGGCTTGCTACCTCAAGTCCTATTGGAAGGGGATTCCCCTCCTAAACAATAAGTTCGACACTCTCCCCTCCTCCCATCCCCTCAATCATCACCAGATCTTCATTAAAGGTAAGTGTCATGTATTCTATTGTTGTAGAGTACTACAAACTGTGCATGTCTTCTTTAGTTTGTGTGCATTAAAACTAATATTTCATGGGTAAAATTTTTTTTTTTTCATACTTTTTGGGTGTCTTGCACAGATTTTAAATTTTATTTCCATTATTTCTTATGGGGAAAATTGATTCGCTTTTCAACCATTTTGGTTTTACGATGAGCTCTCAGGAATGAATTAATATCGCAAACCGGGGGTCCACTGTACAGTGGAACCTCGGTACTCAAACTTAATTTGTTCCAGAAGGCTGATCGAGTGCTGATCGTTTGAGTACTGAACAAAATTTTTTCCCCTATGGAATAATTAATAATAATTTTTCATCTCATTGTGACTCTAACCAATTTTCTTTTTGGGTGGGTGTTATCACTAATCTTCTTAGACCCCCCTGTGACTTATTTTTTACAATATAAAAAAAACACCAAAAAATGAGAAGAAACATGAAATAGTTAAAAGTGAAGTTCAGGGAGTTTTGCACTGAGCAACAGCTGGGGGAGAAATGACGCAAGTTGTTTGGTCAAGTGCCGAGCAAATGGTCGATGACCGAGGGGAATTTTTCTTACCGAACAAAGTGATCAAATACTGAATTACTCAAGTTGCAAGCTGTTCGAGTACTGAGGTACTATTGTATTTTGGTGTGTATGATTATTATTACTTTAAACCCTCTTATTGTATTGTACTATGTAAAACTACTACAGTATAACCTAACTTCTGTTTGTCATTATTTGAAAGCATTTTGAAGAGGTAAGAGGGTCTATTGGGCACAGCTGAATGTAGGTGAGGTCGATCAGATGAAGCACTACTAGGACACATGAACACTGTCATAATAAAAGTCATAGAGTACAGTGGAACCTCAATGTTCGAGTACCCCAACATCGAGTTTTTGAGGTATGAGCTGTCACTCAGTCAATTTTTTTCTCTGAGTTACGAGCCAAAATCCAAGTGATGAGAGGTTCAGAACACTGCCCCTAGTTGGCGCAGTGAATGCCACAACATCCCTCAGCAGTGCACGTGTTTATCCTGCGTGGAAGCAGTTTTTCTTGTGCTGTGCTTGCGTTTTGTGCAGTTAAATTTTGCCAAATTTCTTTTTTCTAACCATGGGACCTAAGAAAAACAAGTGCAAAGGACAGTGCTGAGAAGAAAAAGATGATGAAGTCCATTGAATTTAAGAACGAAATCATAGATAAACATGAGTGAGGTATGGGGGTTGTGGACTTGGCCAGGCAGTAACAGCATAGTAGTTCTACAATATGTACAATACTAAAGCAGGAAGAGTTGAAAGGCTATAGCACCAAGCAAGCGATGAAGTGTAGTAAATTAGCCTATCTTTTCCACCCTCTACCTCAACCTCCACCTCTGCCAGCATCTGCTCACCAAGGTAAATATGCACACTTTATAAAACTAGCTTATTGCTTTACATTCTTATTATGTTTTTATACAATATTATTTATAAATATATATTGTTTCAGTGTTTTCCTTATGAAAATTTAGTGATCTAGTGCAGTTAGCCTCCACAAACACTCCATTTTCAGAAGGGGAAGAATGGGAACATATGGTCAAAAGCGGGAGCGGGGAGTGGCCGCCACCACTTGTCACATAATGACACAGTGGACCCTTCATTTTCATCGATCTCCTTTAATCACCGATTTCGGCTTTGGCCAACTTTTTTTGCTGATTTTTTGGCTCCGTTTTTGCGATTACCTCCATTTTTGTTGATCGTACGGAACCTGTCCAGTGCTAAGCGCACAGACAAAGCCACCTCCCACGCTATTCTCAGCCAGTGTAGCGCTGTTTCTCAGTGAGTGAACATATCCTGGGCCTAGTCATATGAAACATTCCGTAATAATCCATTGTTTTTGCCACTTGTTTATTGTGTGTGACTGCTAAATAAGCCACCATGGCCACAAAGAAAGCTCCTAGTTTCAGTCCTTTGGCAAAGAAAGTGAGGAACCGTAGAAGTGAAAAAAGAAATCCTAAGAAAATATGATAATGGCATACGCACTGCTAACCTCAGCAGGATGTATGGGAAGTCACCATCAACAATCCGCTCCATTGTGGCAAAAAGAAAAGAAAACATGAAGCTGATATTGCAAAAGGAGTGAATGCGATAACCAAACAGAGATCTCAAACAATTGAAGAAGTGGAGAAATTGTTGTTGGTGTGGATCAGAGAGAAAGAGTTAGCAGGAGACAGTGTTGTGCAGTCAATTATTTGTGAAAAAGCAAGACAGTTACATGACAACCTCTTAAAGAAACTGCTTGAAACAAGTGGTGATGAAGGTGAATTAAAGGCCAGCAAAGGCTGATTTGAAAAATTCAAGAAGTGAAGTGGCATAAACAATGTTGTAAGGCATGGTGAGGGTGTCAGTTCAGACAAACAAGCGGCTGAAAAATTTGTGCGGGAATTCAAATGTTATGTAGAGGCTGAACAATTCCAACCCCAACAAGTGTTCAATTGTGATAAAACAGACCTGTTTTGGAAGAAAATGCCAAAGAGGACCTACATTAGGCAGAAAGAAAAAGCACTCCCAGGACACAAGTCTATGAAAGACAGGCTAACTCTCTTGTTGTGTGGTAATGCTAGTGGGGATTTCAAAGTGAAGCCTTTACTGGTGTATCACTGAAAATCCCACTGTGTTCAAGAAAAACAGTGTTGTCAAGAGTAAATTGTGTGTGACGTGGAAGGCAAATAGTAGGGCATGGGTCACAAGGGAAATTTTCCTGGAATGGTTTAAAGAAGTGTTTGGCCCCAGCGTGAAAAAATACCTCCTAGGATAAGAAATTGCCACTCCAGTGCCTCCTGTTAACCCTTTGGGGGTTTCGGCCGCACTAGTACGGCTTATGCACCAGGGTTTTTGACGTACTAGTATGCACAAATTCTAGCGCCCTCAAATCTAGCAAGAGAAAGCTGGTAGGCCTACATATGAAACAATGGGTCTATGTGGTCAGTGTGCGCAGTTATAAAAAAAATCCTGCAGCACACAGTGCGTATGAGAAAAAAAAAACTTTGACCATGTTTTTGGATTAAACAGCGACTTTGCACTGTATTTTCGTTTTGGTATTTATTGTCGTATTCCAGACATATTACAGAAATTGAGATGATTTTGACTGGTTTTACAATGAAAAATACCTTTGAAATTGAGCTCAAAGTAGCAGAAATGTTCGATTTTTACCAAGTTCAAAAGTAAACAAATCATGCTAAGTGTCCAATACACGTCACTGGCGAGTCTAATATTCTTTCACAAGTGCGCCGATATTAGTCATACCATTTCTACACTAACGAAGTAGTCTGCATAACGGTAAATCTTATTTTTTTTTTTTTTGGAGAAAAAAAAAATCAAAGTGGAAAGCAAAAAACATGTAAGAGGGGCCTGGGGACGTGACTAATGAACAGAGGAAATATTATTTTAGTGCCAGGAATGTCTTTCTTGTTTATTCTGGGCCCTATTTGGAAATTGGCATCTTTTGAAATTTGTGTGAAATTGGCAAAATTGCTAAATTCTGACCACTTTATTGGATAGTTGAAATCGGTAAATGGGTGGTTTCTTGTACTCATTCAATAGAAAAAACGGAGTTCTAGCAAAATAGTTATGATTTCTGTCGACTAGTACACTGGAATTGGCCAAAAATAGGGCTCAAAGTGGGCAAAATCGCCGATACGTAAACATCGTTGAGACTGCTAACTTTGCGAGAGCATAATTCCGTAAGTTTTCCATCAAATTTCATACTTTTGGTGTCATTATGATC